TTGGCAATATATTCAAAACTAATATAATAGTATCTCATGAGTAACCACTTTAATTATACACATACATATGAACATATTATCATATAATTATTAAAATTATACAAAATCATATCACTAAAATTATATCATCATATAATTAATTTATTTTACTATCCTACAAGGATGCTTGATAAGATCTTCAGGAACTATATAAATAATTTGTTTTATTATCCTTCATAAATGCCTGATAAGTTCTTCAGAAATTATATGAATAATTATCTAAAACATATAACCATTCTTTTGGAATGCGTTAAAATTATTTGTGTCATTCTTCTGAAATGACAATCTTATTATGAGTATATTACAAATTATAAATGTTTAGAACGATACAACAAAAAACACTTTATTTTAATATTATTCTTGCAATCTTTTTGGGATAAAATTAGATCATTTTTATTCAATTTTATTTCTCAAAAATGTATGTTACAATTCTGTACATCAATAAAAGGAAAAAAAATCAAATTTCTTTGTGAAATCCTTTTGGGATACTTCATTATTATTGAATCAATCCTTCTAGAACTCGACAATATTATTGAAACAATCATTTTTGTAAAATTTTAACATAATTGATACACTCCTTCTAGGAATACTAATTTGGAGATACTTTAATATTAAATTTTAGTTCTACAAAGAACACATCATAAATTATTTCCATAAACAACGATAAAAAAAAAAACTATTCTTCGTACAATCCTTCAGGATGCTTGAGTGTTAAATTAATATTCTCGAATTTAACAAGAATGATCAAAGAAATGTAATATGATTGTACAAAGTAAATAAAATTTTCTCTACAAAATATATGTTAAAAAAATAAACATATTTATATGAAAAAAGTAGTAACAAGATCATGAATTATATTATATTGATTCAAATATATTGATAGTATAAAATTTACGTAGAACCTGGCTATATCATCACTCGTAATGTAGAGTCTCGTGCTGATAATATGGTTATGAAATTAACTAAAACAATATAGAGATGAAAGAGACAAAGAGAAGAAGAAAAGTGATTATATTATTCACCTAAAGTTTTCTTAGCATTACAACATGAATCATATTTATAGTACATGACCAATAAATAACCATTAACTTAAGAATACATAAAGGTTAGGAATATAATTCATAGGAATTAAGGAATATAGAAAGTGGGGGTAAATGAACATTCATATCTATTTTTATAATAAGAGATGAGAGAAACAAATATCAATTATTGAATTAATCAAGAAAGAAAAGTTAATATCCGCATTAATATTTTAATCAATCATTTTAGATTAATCTAATGGTTGATATTTGTTTCTCTCATCTCTTATCGTAAAAATCCTCCAATTTAATATGCTCCTATATATATATATATATATATATATATATATATATATATATATATATATATATATATATATATATATATATATATATATATATATATATATATATATATATATATATATATATATATATATATATATATATATATATATATATATATATATATATATATATATATATATATATATATATATATATATATATATATATATATATATAGTTAAAGATAATCCTTGTGATAAGTAACGTGTAACACCCCATATAATATATATTATTAATAATACCATACATATGTTAATTTTGGTACGGACACAACATAAGTGCCTAACGACATCATTTACATACATATCTAATATACAAAAATACTACATGTGACGCATAATATGAAAAAGTACCTAAACAAAAATTATAAGATCTATGTATAATATCCACATTGCACATAATCCGCAACAGAAGATCACGATATCAAAAGATCTTCAAACATCATCAGACAAGCTCACCCATGCCTTTGCATTATCCTGCCTTTAGATACCTGAAATGCAATAATTATTGGGGTTAGATAATAATCTTAGTGAGTTCTCCTATCTTATGGTTCCACTCGTCTATAAAGGTATCTCTTACCAATTCTAAACACCCACTCCACTCTGCTGACTAATCTTTATGGGATCCTACCATCCAAGGGTACAAGGGAACGAGCCCTATATCATGAGAGGATTCCATAACGGTCACTTCATATCACGACCACTGTACACCATCTATAGCCATTTAGGCTTATGGTTACACTTGTAGGCTAAGCATGTAATCAGCCATCCTTTATGCCCATTATACTCAGATTAGTATAGTCTCGAGTCTAATACCAATTCTATAGTATTCTCACTTCTTTTCGTTTTATTCACGTAGTACCCAACATAATTAATTGGTGTATTAAATACATCTTCTCTAATACTCTTACTAGTACACATGTATATTTAGGACTCCTAATTAGAAGTAAGATACTTGCATCATCTATAATTCTTCTGATAGGAACTTAGTTACACAACTAATTACAGCCCCACTCGGTTTGGATTTAGTACATGGCATACTACTAATTATGACCCTTCCCGATTGGAATTTAGTATATATGCCAATTACGACTCCACAAGAACTTAGTCATACTACTAATTATGACCCCGCACGGTTGGATTTAGTTTATAGACCACCGTTACTAATTACAACCAATCCCGATTGGAACTAAGTGTGTCTAACTAATTACAACTCCAAAAGGTTGAATTAGTATGTGAGTTAGTTACTATTCACAAGCACACACAACAACATATTGTTATTCACCCAAGTCCCGTGTCACAGAGACTTACTAGACTACTCCCCTCAAGGTAATGTGTTTTAGGTTTACCTGCCATCCTACTGTTGATAATATCATCCTTCAAGGATTGGACTTAAGGATTTACCCTCCTTTCTACTTTTAGAGACATAGATCATCTAGTTGAGTTATAATTAAAACACCACCCCTCAAGGATTGTCTTACATATCTACCTGTCGACCTACTGTTGGGACTTATAATGTCATTCTCATAGAGAATAGTACCACTCCTATTCATTTTATCACACATCCAGATACAAGTATTGATATTATACATGAGCATTATATTATTCCATGCATACACATTATTAACATCATACATGTAGCAAACATATTTAATTCATTCAATGCAACATGTCACATATGAAATCATATAATTAATTCATAATAAACATTCAATTAATCATAGAATTAGTTTATAAGTATTATCTTATGACACTATGGGATAGTTCCCTCTGTGAGCTTCTAAATGCATCTGACCACGTCTTTCGAGTTATGAAACTCAAGTTATGACAAAAACAAGGTATTAAACAAAATTTGCCTTCATAATTCGAATCAAGTGTAAAATGTGATTCAAATTACATCAAGCAGTGGCAAGCCGGAAGGCCATGATTCAAATCATAACCCCCATTGCAAATCTCTAATTCAAATCAAATCTGCTAGTTTCAGGTTTTCCCTCATATTCCATGATTTTCTTTAATCCAAACATATATTAATCATACTATCATCACATACTACATCAAATCTACTTCAACACAAATTTATGTCATAAACAAGTCATAACATCATGTAACAACAATAATGTGACTCTAATCCATATTCACACAATATCAAAACAACATAACACATCACAACATACAACAACAACACAATAAGACATTAAGGATTAGCAACTTAACATGGAAGATAACAATTATCACACTTCGAACATCAATTTCACACATATAGCATGAACTCACAAACCCTAAACCTAATCTTTTCATGTTTCTTCCCCCAAGCTACAACTAACTAATAACTCACCTCAAGAGATGAAGATGATGATGAGATTGAGATGAAAATGGTGATGATGATGATCTTCCAAGAGCTTTTCCTCTTATTCCACTCTTCACCTCTTTCTCTTCTTCCTCCTTCGTTCTATTTTTCCTTTCTCCTTTTTTCTCTTCTTATCTCTTTCTCACTTCTATTTCTCTCATTCTTTCCCTTACTAACAAAGTTAGGGCAAGTTTAATAAGATAAAAGGAAAATAAAATATCTTAAAAGGATATTTTACCTTCTAGTGAGCAATTGATTAATTATTAATGTTAACATGTTTATTTTTTTAATTAATAAAGGTCAATCTAGTTGAGTAATAATTAAACTCAATTGAGTTCATTAATTACTCTATTTGTCTCAACTGACAACGAATAGAGTATATAAGAGCTCAATATATCCCAACTGACAATAATTGACAACTAATAGAACACTTAAGAGGATATGGGATATTACATAGTGTTCCTACTTTATCACCATGGTCACACACCTATGGTGGAAAGAACATACTTATAATCACATGCAATCTAGCAATGAATGTACGACCGTCATTATATGCACTTCACAACCGTTGTGAATAACATTCTTCATAGTAATGATTTGACCATGTCCCTTCACCTACTAGAATTGTGTTATCAGCAAACTGTAATAAGTTATACACAACTCTATCATCTATTATAAATATATAAAATGTAAAGTACCTGGAAAAATCAAGTATGCCCTTTTGAGTTCACGTTAAAACTTTTCTGATTCTAGGATTAAAAATGACTATTTGAAGCCTTACTACAACCACATTCATTTGGCATTTAATATTTCTTATGTGTCATGCTATTAGATTTTTAAAATAATTTTGAATTAATTTTATATTATATTTATACTTATTTGGTTAAATGAAAAGTCTCTCTTAGAAAATTGAAAACTACTTTGAAACTAACACTTTCATTTGAATTTTCTTGAGGAATGAAAAACCACTAATATCACTCTTTTCCATATCCTTTTTTATTTCTCTTTCCATGTTCCCAAACTCTTGCTTATTAATGATAATCTATTTAATAGTTCAAATTTTTCTGCCTATAAATCAACTTATCCTCTTTGTTCCATTTTTTAAGCACACAAGTACACCGTTCAAATATGGCATCTTCTTCTTTAGCCATAAAAACTAGCCCTCCATCAGTTTATGAAGCATATTTTAAGCAGTTTGAGAAATATTTTTAGTATTTTCTAAAGTTATGCTTCAAAACATTGAACGGTATGATGGCCCTAACATTCATTGGTAGAGAATCACATGACAAAATTATTTATATTCAAGGGATAGTTGGCATGGTTTTCAGCGAGATGGTTCAAGAGGTAAATATGAAATTTGATATATTAAACACTTACATAGCATGAGCTAAAAGCTTTCTATAATTTGCAGGGTTTAGTTGAAAAGGATAAATTGGACATGTTTGATTTTCCAGCACACCATCCTACCGAAGAAGAAGTACGACAAGTGATCGAGGCAGATGGATCTTTTACCCTTCAAAAAGTGAAGACTGTTAAGATGAGTTGGGATGCAAACCCTCAAGATGATGCGACTAATTATGTTATTTATAGCAAAATGAGAGGGGATTTAATATCCAAGTATCATATAGTAGTTTACGAACCTATTTTAATAGCAATTTTTGGTGAGAATGTCATGGATGAGTTGTTTTCAAGGCTTACAAAGATGCTTGTGAAACTTATTGAAATAGATACATTATAGTTTACTAATATTGTATTGTTTTTAACCAAGGAACATTGATGATATAATGAATGTTTTTGATATTGTTATTTGTAGGTGTGTATTTATTTCTTTTTATTCGTCTAGCTTAGTACGTGAATATATATTGCTTATAGTTATGATATGTACCTTTAACATTACCTACTTATGTCTTATAGATAAGACTGCCATTGTTATGTAAAAGATAAATGTGCGAAGAAAATGCAAGAAAGGGGGTTTGAATTGGGTTTTCCTTTCTTGTAAAACTTTTTCTTCTAAACATTATTCGTTGAACAATGATTTTGATTGTTACTTCTAAGTAATGCTTCTAATTAAGTTCAGAAAACATAAACTCTAAAGCACAAGCAAAAGTAAAGAACACGCGATATATCCTGGTTCACTTGAGAAAACTCCAAGCTAGTCCAGTCCACCCTTCCAAGGTAATTTCGCCTTGAACACAAGGACTTAATCCACTATAACAATTCTGCTTACAATCATACGGGAAACTGCCGGTGACTAACATCCAATGACGCGTTCAGGGATCCAAACCGGATATAACGTTCATTGATCCAACAGAATTTGATTCTTCATAATCTCCTATCTGGATTTCCTTCCAATGATATCCATCAGAGATCTTAGAAGGATGACCTTCACTCAATCCCCTTTGAGATATGACTATCATTGACCCAACAGAATCCACTACCATGATTTCCTCTATGATGACTGCAGCCAAAGTCTTCTCAAGTCTTCTGATCTTCACTCGAACACTTTAGGAACCAACCAATTCTAAATAGAATTATTTCTCTAGAGATTACATGAGTGTTTCTTATCAAGCAGATTACTCCTAATTTAAGTACATATTGTTTGACACAATTTTGAGCAACAACTCGTGTGTACAAACAATTTACATGAATATCTTAAGTAATAATACAATATGAGCAGTGACTCTTTAATTTTACATATTTATACAAATATGAATATAATCTAAGTTAAGTGCAGCATCTTGTAGTCTTCTTGTCTTCATCTTCATCGTTGAGCAAGCTATGAGCAACAATTCCTTGCTTCTTCTTAATTCTTCTAAGATGTAAATGATTGGTAGTGAATAACATCTTGTAGAATTCTTTATCTTCATCTTCTTTCTCCATTAAACAAGATATGAGCAACAACTCTTTTTTTTTCATAATTCTGCCAAGATGTATATGATAGGTAGTTTGAATAACATCTTGTAGAATTCTTCTTCTTCTTCATCTTATTTGGTTAGCTTCAACATGTTTAGCATCATTGTTGTTCTTGTTGTTGTTATAGTGGTTGATATATATTTGGTTGTCTTCCAATAATGATATCTTTTTAGCTTTGAACACCAACAACATTTTAAACACACAATTCTTTTCTTTTATAGCCAAGCAAAATAGAGTCATTGGCTATTTTAAAAAGAGTCGTTACAAAAAGCAATGCTATGTCCTTATCTCTTCCATAATTGAAGCTAGTGGAGAAGTAGTGTAATAAGGATTTTTCATACTGTGTACTGTTGTATCATGTTACCGTTATATTCTTTACTTCTGCACTTCAAAGGCTTCTGCGAGCATGAGGTTAGAAGCGGGAAAATAACATAAGGTCTTTAGAACTTCAAGTCTTCAGAGTCTTCAGAATTGCGTCTTCAAAGTATTCAGAACTTGGTCGTGAGAACTAGTTATAGTGAACCTTTAGATCAGAATAGGTTCAAGTCTTCAGAGTCTTAAGAGTCGCATCTTTAGAGTCTTCAGCACTTGGTCTTTATAATCCAATGTATAGAACCTTGGATCTTTAGAACTTCAAGTCTTTGTAATCTTCAGAACTTCCGACTTTAGAATATTTAGAACTTGGTTCTTTAAGAATCCTTTTAAGAACCTTGTTATTAGAAACACAAGTCTTCAGCATTTGGACTTTAGTATAAACTTTGTCTTCAGATCTTCTAACTATGTCTTCTTGAAATAAGTTATCCTTTAGAAACTAAGTTTTTAGCATCTGGACTTCAGTAGAAACTTTGTCTTTAGATCTTCTGACTTTTTTCTTTGAAACACATTGTCTTTAGAAACTTGAGTCTTTAGCATCTGGACTTAAGTGGTAATTTCTGTCTTCAGGTCTTATGATTGTTTCCTTAGAACATGTTGTCTTTAGAAGCTTGAGTCTTCAGCATCTAGACGTAAGTAGCAACTTCTGTCTTCATATTTTATGACTGGTTTCTTTAGACAAATATGAGGGCTTACGCTTCAGAACCTTCTGGAATGTCTTGCTACTGTTCAACAGAACTTGTGTAGCGCAAAAGCGGAACTAATTCTCTTCTAATGTCTTGGCCACGCCATCCATCAGAAACAAAACCTATTTGTTAAGTAATCAAAAATAACAAACATTAGTACAACAAAAAATTTCATGCACTCATACTCATTTGTTTTCATCAAAACTCAGATAATATTGTTGAACCAAATCTTGTTCTTACAATCTCCCCATTTTTTATAATGAAAAAACTATGTATTTTGATGACACAATTTTGTTCTTATAATCAAAAGAAGTGAAATTAGATAGGTCATAAATACTTATCCTTTTTATGATACTCCCCCCTGAGTCAATGATTTGATGAAGATCAAATATCCTGACTCTGAACCATTTGAGTAAAACTCCCCCTGGTTCCAATAGATCAGATTTCGAGATCTTGAGAGTATTGGCTTCAGAAATTTCAGATACTTTTCAACTTCGTATTTTCTATGTTCTTCTGGAAGACATCTGCTTTTGCTTTTGATTCTTATTTTCTGAATATCATATTCTCATACATTTTACATCTTCTGAACATTATGATACTAAAATCAAGATAACTTTAACTTTCAGAAAGTTCTGAACATCAGAACAGTATTGGATTTATCTGATTCTTGAACATATGTTCATAGAGTATACATCTTCGAATATATGAACAATCAGTATTTAAGAGATTAAACAAACTTCTTTCATTTTGACCTGTCTTAGAATGCCTAGTGAACTTGTTTAGAGTTCCTCGATTACTTATCAAATAGATAAACACACGTCAGTGGTAAATGCACACTTTATATCATTCTATTATTATGATGAGTTTTTGCATTTCTTTAGGTTCATCAAAATCATTATACTTATCCCCCTTTTTGACACCATCAAAAAGATAATTATTCATGAAAAATATTAAAAGTTAACAGAAGTAACAATAAGTGCTAATCAGAAATAATTGCATTGATGATAGAATTAAACAAATTACAAAATAAAATCCTATGGGAACCACTGATCATCAAACATCTCACACTTCTCTTGACGCAGAGCATCACTGGGACCATCAAGAATCCTTTGAAGGATTCTCATAATGTTATTTTGAAGAAAAACTTCTGACATGATTCTTCCATAGGGAATAAAGGTTTTGTTCAAATTTTCAGATGAAGTGATAGTCCGTTTAAGATGATTGATAATCACTTGAGGAAGGATGATCGAAATACTGTTGATCAGACATAAAATTAGAGTCTTATCCTCCTTGTTTAGGACATTTTTGTTAGTTTCACGAGGATAAAGATTTGTCAGAATAAAGTGAAACCATTCTTTGGCAAAAGGCTAAAGACTCTCAGGATTAGTAGAGTCAAACTCAGAGGATGCATTTAAGATGGAATTAATTTTACCACCTGGGATGCTATGAAGAGAGACACGATCGGTCGTGATACCTGTTCGAGGATAAACAAATATTTCAGTAATGCATTCAGTAGTGAAGAAAATATCATTGCCATAGATGTTTGAACAGACTGCGGTACCACTGTGATTGATGGAAGAATTTTTCCAGAAAATCTTTACAAGATTTGGATAAATGGGTCCTACGAGTGAAGAGAGATAGCGATTCTAGTTTTGAGCATGAATTCTGATATGGAATTCCGGACTCGCACCTAAGAGTCTAGGATGTATTTAAATGATAACTTCCAAGTGATCATCATTTTCATGAGAAGTTGTTGAAGTCATGATGAGAGAGAGAGAGAGCGAGAGAGAGAGAGAGAGAAGTAGAAGGAAATTGTTATCAATTATTAGATATTATTTGTTAGGAGAGGTAGAGGTCGGAGATGGTGTATAAAAAGACACGAGAAGATGTGACTTGACAAGAGAAATGATTTTCCTTATGTAAGGTAATCAATTTTGGGAGACTCAATAATAAATGACTGAGGAAGGTTAGGAGGGCGGCAATAACTCCTAAGATTCATTAAGAAAGAGAAATGAGTGACAATTGATATCTTTGAATCAGGTTATGAGTATAGAGCATACTAGTATACATAGATGTATGGGGAAGGGAAAGAGAATAGTTGATTTCATTTATGAGGGCATATAAAAATGCTCATAACTTAAAAATACTATTTTCTAAAATGTGAATAAAGTAACTGACAAACATCAAGATATAAGACCTAATATATGACTTGGAGACGCATGCGTGACTGTTTCATTTCAGACATTAATGAATTTATAATACTTAAGTACTTGTCATTTCATTATAGTGCAAAAGTAACAAACAACAATTTATCAAAAAAATAAAGACTTCATTAATTAAAACAAGTCAATAGATACATGTTTAAAAGTGAATAACTAATCAAATGACATGATCAAGCAATAAAAACAATCATACTTTTGAAGAGATAAGTCATATTTTCCTAGCTGATGAAAATCTCGAACTTAGATTTTAACAACCAATCTTCAGGACAATTCTGTGGACCAAATTCTGCTATTATTTCTTTGAACATATCCACTATTGTCTCTTGGAAAATAATTTCTAAAAAAACTCATCCATAAGGAGTATAATACTTTAAGTGACTCCTAGACTCAAAAATTGATTTCCAAAGACAGATGAAGATTGATTGTGGCAAGCTTACATGAGTATCATTCATCAGAAGATAGATGAATGATTGGTCATCATACCTTATAAGGTCTTGATTATACCCGCTGGGAAGAAAGTTTGACAACACAAGCTTGAACCAAGCTTTGGGAATGGGTAGTAGATTTTCAGGATTGATAGGCTT